GTCCCGCTTGAGCGCCTTAAGGATGGCCGTGGTGCCGACGACAGCCGGGTCGATGAGCTCCTTTTGGGCGTCGGTCCACTTGAAGTGGAAGGGGCTGGCGGTGTGCAGGACGGCCTCGAGGCCGGGCGTCTTGACGACCTCGTCAAAGGCGTCGGGGCGCGCAATGTCCGGGACGATGGCGACGTGGAGGCGGGACGCGTCGAGGTCCTTGTGGGCGTCGCGGATGCGCTGGGCCTTGTCCTCTGAGCGGACGGTCGTTACGACGGAGTGGCCGCGCGCGAGGAGCTGTTCAAGGATGTGGGCGGCGATGAACCCGGAGCCGCCTGGTGGTGTGTTAGTGGATTGTGTTCTTGGGTCGCATTGAGAGCTTCTCACCCGCAGGAGAGGAAGTGGTTTATTATGGAGGGAGGGTGCTGGGAGTGCGGCTATGATCTCACTCATCACTTACCTGTAAGGAGAATCTTGGTCATCTTGTCGTTTGTGTATTGTCAATGGCTAAGGTTTGCCTGAATGTCAATTGAGACGTAATATGGATATGTCAAGGTTGGAGCTTCAAATATTGTTCGGGGCAAACGGATTGAATTTCTAGCTTTACTCAAACACATTGAACCCTTTTATCCTTCCCTCAGGTACAGCTTGACCCCTCCACCACCCAAGACGCCGTCACTTTACCCCTCCATTGCATGATGATTAACAAACACAACCTAACGCCCCCCCCAATAACTGCCCCGCTCTCTCTCGACCCCCGCGCAACCACCACACTTCCATAATTCCATTCAGGTCCCAGCGCGGGTTGCGTGGGGCACCAAAAGCATCACGTCATCCCAGTCTTCTAGGGCGCCATCGATTCGCTCATCTCTCCTTGGTGGTCCCGCCCCGATTGCCTCGGCCACCTCCTCCGGCCGAAGTCGGGACTATGGGGCCGGATTTTGCGGGCGATAATGCCGGCCGCTGACACATTCCGGTAAGAACGGCAACGTAGCCAGCTGGCCTTCCGATTCATGTGCGATTTCAGATCCCGTCTGCCATGTGGACAATTCAGAGAGTTCAACTATAGCGAAATATATCCTCTGACATGGATTGGTTAAAAAAAAGCGCCATTCTATTCCAAATCCATTATGGTATTGCCCATACCGCAGTAGGCATCTGTATTTCATCCCCAAAGAGCACTCACTACTTACGCCAGCCAGACTCCAAAATCCAACTCGAACGAGGGCAGCCACTGCCATTTTTCAATTGGCATGTTTCCCTATCAAGAGAAATTTTGCTTGCCCCGTTTAAGAGGCCTTCGACGGGAGGTTGCATAAGCACGCATCACTCAGCTAACGCCCTCTTCGCAAATCAAGGACTGGCACGTTCGACGCGGCCTGGTGGAGCGGAGCTGAGCCAGCAAACACCACGGAAATCCGTCGGATTCACTGCAGCCTCCCGCTGGCGGCGCACCGTTTTCTTACCACCCCTTACTTCCCACGGGTCCCAGATTCGGACGAAACTTATTTATTGAGTTAAACGGCCGAATTCTTGGGCGCTTTCCCTTCGAGTCTGCGTGAAATTCGAGGGGCTTATCAGGCCTGTTGTGCTTCATTGCGGGACCCAGGTTCTCTAGACGGACCTAAAGGCTGACTTTCGATTTTGAGAGAACGCAAGCTACTGTCGTCAGCAGGTAGTCATTGTTCCAATGTGGTAACCTTAACCAGCTCTAGTTCACGGTGAGTCTGAGAATAAACCTCTTATTTCACTGTGTAATGAGAAAGCAATACGAGACCATTGGAGGAGATCCTCGACAGCTTTCCGAGTGCGCAAAGTGTGATCAGCATTTCGAACAAGTCTACTGCTCTCCATTCAAGCTGAAAATAAGCGCAGAATAGGGGTGAAAGTGCCACTCTTGCCAATACCAAGGCATGGTCGCCCGTCGTGCATGTCAGCCACCTCGGATGGCTTCAGACATCTCTGAAAACCCATGCAGCCCTCGACAATCAATCTATAGCCACATGATGCCATGCGAACGCCATACCAATTAGGCATCACCGCTGAGTCTTTGCTACAGTGTTGTAGCTTTTCAGCTGCCTAGGCAGATATGCAGATGTTATGGAAAATTTCCCACGCGAATTGTACGACCCTACCTTGGCCCACCTGTGCCGTGTTTCTGCTGCTGCTGTTTCTGCTGCTGCTGCTGCTGCTGCCGCCACCGCATACGCCTGATCTACAGCCCGCTGGTGATCACCTCTTTGGCTATGTCTGATCCATCCTTCTTCAATTTAACCCGTAAAACTCGGTGGTGATTGACTGAGAGTGAATGCTGGTCATACTTCGTGTAGCGTTCGCAACTCTGGACTTTATAGGTATAACCTCCGTTTCACCCTGCATGTTTCTCTGGTTGCCCTCTGCGGATGCTGGCTGATTGATTTTCGCCGAGACAAGACCAAGGTAAGGGCTTATATGACGCGAGTGCGACGGCTGAAGACATGAATTACTGTCTCAACCCAAAACCAACTGGTTTCGACACGATGCCCAGGCTTCTAGAAGGTGTTGAGCTGCTTGACCCATGACGAATTGCTTTTTATCTTTCGGCATTCTAATGCGGAAGAAGATTTTCGACTGAAAGATAATCAGTAGACTATCACTCCTGCAAATTCCCCTGTTGGCTCCCTAGCCCAAGCCAAGTCATGCCACTCGCGACGGGACATCATGGACAACAAGCTTGTGCGACACTTTACCACCGATATACTCTCCTTAGAACACCCGAGACACCCGAACGGATCAAGAGTCACGAGTAGTCCATCAAAGTGACATGCAAAGAATAAGGATATGCCAAAGTTGAACCACGAGTACAACGGCGCCAGCTCACCCTGGAAGGCATCTCGCGGAAGTCTGACAACAAACCTGTGGGAGCTCGCGTACGCTGGAAATCCACTGGTTCCCGACCCGGTGATACCTTGGTCTGTGTTCTTCAGCGAACGCCACCAGAAGATTCCCCGGACCGGTTCGTGATACCCCTCGCCTCGTCACTCGTCCCGGGCAGCAAAGCACTTTTGCCAGGAAAGATGGCTACACCCAATCCCATATAAGCTTAGTATTTCAGTCGGCTGGCTTGAACGGGCCGTCTTCGAAGTAGGACTGCCGATCAAGAGAGGAAGGGAAAAGGGGAGGGGGCGGGAGGATCTGGTTGCCGCACTGCTAGTGTACCCTCCGTGTGAACGAGGTTGCGAAATGCTGTCCCCGCCGCAGTGCTTCCTGTTGAGTTTCGTGCGAAGTAAGGCCGTTCGTGACACGGAAGCCTTATAAATGCAGGTCCAATCGCAGAATCTATGAGAACCTTTTGTTCCAGGGTTGATCCCATCGAGCGAAATGAGGTGGGAGAGACTTCTCAGGTGGTATCTCAGCGAGCGGAACGTCCATCATTGAGAGACTTGAGAAATACGAGCTCTGGTGGAAGCCGAAACGGGCTCGCTTCTCTTCATGGGAATGTCAGCTCCCTCCCCCCCCTTGTTGATGCAGAATCCTCAAACTCGCACATCAAGGGGGTAAGAGTCACGAAGCCAGTGGGAAATACGGAAGTCCAAGCCTTTGCTCTTCAAGCCAATAGACCTGTTGTTGGGTTTCTATTTGCAGCAGGCTCACAGTCTACTTATGTCAATCATTCCAAGTGATGGCTTACGCTCTCCAATATGGTTGCCGGCCACTCGGGTGCGTGCATTTTCTCTCTCTTCCAACAGTCTCTGCAGGCTGTACGACGTTGAATACATGCGAAAGACCGTGGGGCTCGGGATAGGGCAGATACAGTGCGGTGTAGCCACCATGGTGATGCTTGACCAGTCCCTCCCGACCCCTTGTCCGCCTCTCTACACTTCACCGAGCCTCCCGTACGAGCTGCCCGGTATGTCTAGAAGTGGACATGGTATATATCGACGATGAGGACGTCCGTCTGTAGATGTGAGCGCCTCGTCAAATCTTACATTTGAGTTCGCGTCGACTTGATACCACACATCATCACTACCACATTTGCCAAGACCATACACGAGGAGCCTTCCCAACCTCAGCTGAGCTGCACCTTGATAGAGTGTTCATTTGTCTCACTTGGCCTGAAAGCGTCTCATCCACGGAATCATACGGCACTATACTCACGGTTACACTCACCCAAGACGAAGTCAAAATCCGCCTTGCCGTTCATCATAGCCCTGCTGGACTGGGGTTCATCTATCGACCATGGAATCGGGGGAAGACGATCATCCGGAGCTGGACAAGAAAGAGGAGGCATGGGGATCAGTGGCGAGCAATGTTTCGGATCCGCAAAAATGCATCGAGGAGTGTCGAGCCCAGGTCCTAGCAAGAGTCGTACCGGGGTTTAATGGATCGAGGTACAATGAGGTTTGTAAGCACCTGCTATCGAACGATGAGGACGCGAAGAACACTCTATGGGAATTGTATTGCTGCGACGCGACTGAATGCGGGGTTCACTTGAGTGGGAAGCCAGAATTGGGACAGGATCGTAAGTAGAGCGACAGCTCTTAATATGTTGTCGTCTTATAGCTTCTGACTCCAGCTCAGCCAGCGTAAATCTGGTCATTAATGTATGTCAAGGGTAAGTCAGCCCCTTCCAGTCTTACCATTATCAACTGACTTCAGAGCTCAGTATTCTTACACCAGTAATTAAAGATCCAGGCCCTCCCCCAGACGACTCCATCTGTCCGATATCGTTGAACGGCCCGCTTATCAATACGAACGGGAGGCCGTTGTACAAGACGGATTCAACGGGTTCAAGAGGGCAAGAACCAATATTCACCGACTTCGGGATAATGGCCACGATTCCGCCGGAAGTCATGCCATCGACTGTGTCATCGGCCTCAAAAACATCCACACACTCAACGTCTCCGGTGACAGCAATCCCGACATCTTTCGTTCCACTCGCGAACCAGTCCCAAAACCATCGACACAACAGGCTGACCATGGGGACCAAAGTCGCCATCGGCACGTCCTCTGCCATAGCATTCCTCGCCATCATGGCTTTCGTGATATGTCTGTTCCGCCGTCGCTCGCGGAACGACTACGACCAGAGCCTAAAGAGCGAGATTGGGCAACCCAATCCCCGGCCAGACACATCGCCCACACCCCTTTCAGGTCACCTGTACGCTATACGCGAAGGTATCCGTACGCCTTTGACACCTCCGCCCCGTCTACAGCAACGTCGGTTACTTTCCACCCACGGGAACCCAGAGAGACCGAGCATCAACATCAACGTCCCCATCCTAGGAACTCCCCTCGGCGCCTCGGTCGAAAAGGCAGGCGTCTTCTCGCCGTCTCCCACCTTGACACCCGCGCTCGCAGCAGCCAACAGAGTCCCTCCGAAATATGACCGCTCCACAAAGCCGTACTACGGCGTTTCTCCGCCGCCGAATGGATTCGGTCAAGGCACCGGGGGCGGGCCCCGATCCTCCGGAAAGACATCGAGCAAGAGCAGCGCCGCGAGCGGTCGCACTGCCACTACTGTATCCAATGTCTCGAGCATATTCCCGCAACTCACCCCCTCCTCGTGGCCGATGCGGCCTCCGAGGCCTCACGAGAAGCCGCTGCTGATACCGGATCTGGTGTGTCCTGGTCCTCCTCCGGCTCGCTCCCTTCCTCCGGCACCGCCTGGGAGCCCTGCGAGTCCCGTGTCCTTTCACAAAAAGTTGCTTCTGCAGCATTTGCAGCAACAGCAGCAACAACAGAAACGAGAGGAAAGCTTCGAAAGTGTCAGCGCCGCTGTCAGCAACGGGTGGGTTCCGCCTCGGAATCCGGCGCGCGGCGGGGTGCTGGGGAAGGAGGCGAGTGATTTATGCGAGTTGACAGAAACTTGTGCGAGAGAGTCGCGAGAGAGGAATAGCTGGGGAAGCTGGAGTATTGGAGGTGGTGGAACGGGTGTTGGGGCGAGTTCGGTGCAAAAGGGGGACGGGAGTGTGAATAGTCCCGTGTTGGAGGAGGCGGATCTAGAGAGGATAGGCGGGCGGTACTGAGTTTATGAGGTCATCGATAATGATATCATGTGAAAGTTAATTCTTTAAGGTGAGTTCTCTCGATTCCTGTATTGGTTTGCCATCGTGCTGGGAGGTGGACATTACGATCACGCGTGCGTCTGGTCTTGATCAGCTGGCTGATCGGTAGCTGGGAGGAGATCTCGGCATGGCGTTGTCAACTGGATTATATACGTCTCGTTACACTATATGTTGTCATTCAGTTCATATCTAGCAATGTCTATCTCGAATGAGATTGATAGTATTATGCGAACATAGAACTCTCGTCAGCATGGAAGTGAAGTTTGACACTTATCTTCAGCGGCGATCGCTCATTCGCGCCACAGTTCCATACCTTTTTCTTAGTTAACATATAATATTTTGAAGCTACAATTCGTAACTCAGACCGTGATCATACTGTTCGCGTATTCTTGTGTGTGACTCATAGAGCCTGTCAAGCTCGCTACGGCCGTGCATGACAACATGGACATCACGATGGCCTCACTCTGCCACATACGACCATACCCATTGGAAAATTCGGGATCCCGTCCGCTCTCCCATAGAGAAGCCAATGAGGGCCGGATTAGTAGTTGGGTCGGTGACGACCAGCGAATACCTGGTGTTGTATGTCTTTTTTTGGTGTTTTGGGTGGTTGGTTTCTCACGATGTGAGGCCCCGTGGTGTGGAGCGGATGGTGGGCGACGATGATTGTGGAGGACTTCCTTGTTGGCGCGCCAGACGAAATGAAACGCCTTCCAAGCCTTAAGTCTTGTTGTCATCAATAAATCTGGCTGTTTCCATCTCGCTCAAATATTCTGCCGTAATATTCTAGACCTATGGCCTCCAAGCAAGCCAAATTCCTCTACTCTCTTCGGTGGCCTCGCTTCCGAGGACCAACCAGCCAACCCAAACGACTAAGTAAGCCACTATCCACCACTAATTAGGCCTCATAATAGCTGGTAAAACATTCTGGACCACCTCTTCTGTTGAAGCCTTGCCTGCGGTCGGCAGATGGAATGAATTCTGCGGGGGTGAACCATGGGTTGTTGACTACTGTCGCCACCCTTTTGCCATCATACCTCAGCTTCACGGGAGGCCGTAGGTACTTAGAATGCTCTGTAACCTTCTGGACGAGAGCCCATGCTATCGTTGAACGTTTTGAGGTCGATGGTGAAGGCGAGGTGATCCTTACATGTCGCTTCAAAGTCGGCCCTCTCTCTAGAGGACAACGCTTCCGGACCACGGGACCTTGTGGATGGAAGAAGATTCTCGCCCTTTCCTTTTGTCTTGTTGCTATAATTCTTGTCCAGAACGCGAATATATCATCGCGACCCAGGTAGAGATAGGGTCTGGTGATGATGGTGGGAGCGGTGTTGGGTCTTCTCTAGTATCAGTGGTGTGCCTCAACGAAACATGAGACGTAGACGAGAATAATGGTTGTCTTGTTAAATGGCTACTTCAAAAGATTTCGGCTTCCGATTTCGTTGCTATAGGCCGGTCAGACGTAGAGGAAGCGTGAATTTGGAAAGGAATTTGGAAAGGAAAAAGGAATTCGGTGAGTGCTGGGCAGGCAGAAATGAAAACAAGTCGTTGAACGGTACTTGGTGAGAGATGAAGGCCCTTGGATAGTAATTTTTACTATTATATTATATTGCTCTAGCTTTCGCGATTGATTCTCTCCCTATTCTGGTTCTACGACCCATATGGGTGTGTGTGTATTAGCGTTGCCCACCTTGCTGCCATTGAAGCGCCCGCCTTAAGGAAACCAAACTGCGAAGTACTCTCACTGATTTAAACAGATATATCGACCGAAAGTTTGGGCAAGGGGAGGGCTCATGACTTCTCATACGCGCGACGTTGGTTGGACGGGTGAGAGAATGTAAACTGTCACAGAATGATCCATCAGTCGCACTACTCGTTGGGCATAACTTAGGCTTTGCTGATAAGAAGAGCAGATCCAATTAGCCAAGCTAGCAATCAAGATCAGAGAAATCTAGGTGTAAGCCAGCCTTGGATTGTTGTAGTTTCATATTTACAATCTGACGGAGAAGCTCTCGGTCGTGACAGAAGTTGAGGAGGGAATCTACCCGAAAACTGAAGGACATCTTGTGTGAAATATTTACCTGACCAGGTGCCTGCAAGACCAAGGCAACCAATTACTCAAAGAGCTGAATACACATGAATAGATAAGCGAGACTGGAAGATATTTTCACCACGTGATTCAAGGCATCTTCAAGCCAGTGGTGAGGATGTCAAATATTCGGGGCCCACTCCTCCTTCTTGCCTCGAGTTGCCCGGCACCTCCTGCCCTCTTGCACACTTCACCTTCCTTCTCTTCTTTTTTTTTCCCTCTTCATTTTCATTTTCTCTCAAATTTGCTTTTCTTCAGAAAAATTGCAGTCTCTTTTCTCCAACCTCTGCATATCCCATTCTACGTTTCTTTCCACACCTTCACCTTCGACCTACTACCTACTCTGCAGTCTGCACATCGCAGGAATTTTGACATCGCCGTTCTGACCTGCCCATCATCACAATCGAGGTAAGTCTGTTTTTTCCGATGTCTCTCTGGGAGCACCTGCAATCCGAGGCATGACCTGCCGCGCGTGGATGGGTCCATGCTTTCGGGCTGGCGAACTTCCCTCTTCTTCGACTCGACCGACTCGACTCGCTACGGTCTTGCCTTACCATCTCCTAGACTCGTCTAGAGAATTCCGCCCGTTTCTGACACATTATTCATACAGATTGTCGAGAATGGAAGACATGTTTTTCGCTCCTGAAGAATCCGGCGGCGACGCTAGGCAGCGGCATGGACGGATTCGCATGGAATTCTGATCCCTGAGAATTGACACCAAGCCAAAGGTATGTGACTTATAGATCCGGGGTTTCCTTTCAAAATTTGTAGCAAAGCTCACAGTATACCGGCGCAGCTCCTAATCAAGCGCGTCTTCTGACTATCCTTGGGGACGACCAGGTAAAGAACCATGATCTTGTGGTAAGTTTTGTATTATATTCCAGACGTGGGTTACCTGTACATGAATCTAACAATCCATTCTAGTGCCTACTTCCATACCTCAAATCACCATCGCGCTCCCATGGAGCGTCACGGAGGGGCTCAGACGATCAAGAAAGTCGCAATCCTTGGCAGCCGTTACGAAGATTTCACAGCTCTCGTCAAAACCTTTACCTCGGGTCCACCCCAATGGAACCCTTGCTCAACAGACCTATGACTCAAAAGGGCGATCGTCTCACTTTTATCTAATGAAAGCGAGTCTGACATGGCCCTAGACATGACAGTAAACTGTCCGTGATATGTGCTTTTGCTCAACGCACCTCCACTCGAGGTGTGGTGTTACGACTGCACACCCTGATGGTCCTGGACAAGACCTTAAACTGTCCCAGGTAGGTGGCCTACCTGTGACTCAAAAACAACCATGAACGTAGTAAGTCTTTCGCGAACAAGGGAAATCGCTTGGTTCTCCTCGACCCGTGGTACCCTATGGTTCCCCAGTGCTGATGACTTCAAGTTTGCAGAATGCAAAAACCAATATCAAGAATGAAGACGTATGCGCAGATGAGGCATCTGCACACACTATCTTATCTTTCTTCAGCTTCCTTCTCGAACCCGCTGGGTCAGAGAAGAGGAAATGAAGACACACAGACAAAAAAAATCAGATCTACACATACAACAGAAGCGACACACAAGGGACCAGCAAACGTGACTCTTTCGGAAGAAGTACGACGTTGAGTACTCAGTATCAGACATCGTCACTCAGCCCAGTTACCGCACTCTACCGAACGCCTTAGCTCTCATCACCGCTACCCTTCCACATCTTCAACGCCAACACTCTGCCTCGCCGGCAACACTGGCGCCCGGTCCCTATGCGCCACCGGCATTAGCCCCTGGTTTACTCCCTCAACTTCGACAACTAGACCATCAATCTGTCAAACGGGGCCGTTGTGCAAGTTTCCAAGGCAAATCCGCTTCTGTTCGTCGAACCGTGGTCCGTTTCTGGGTCACTTCAGCTACGTGAGGACTCGGAAGGCCATTGTCAGGTGGACTGTTTCTGGAGAAGGACCAGACTGAGCCACTACGAAGCCCGGTGCAATCTTTCGTCTCTCTTTTGCCTCTCGCTTGGCTATTACTGAATCACCTCGCTCCTAGCCGAGCTTACAAACGGAAATCCGACAAGCTTCCATTATCATGGCGTCCACATCACCCGAGAGTTGAAAGCTCCCCCGCGACGAAGCTGTTCTTCTACTCAATCTCTGCTTCCTTCTATCCAATATTTCTTGAGCAGAAATGAGAGAGAACTAGGTTGACAGAGGAAGATATCGGAGCGGTATTCAACGGTCAAAGAGACGGCAAGCCGAGCAGAGAAACATAATCACAAGCAGCGCTTCGACCAAAGACAATGAACACGCCCGACTTTCACTCGAAGAACACTGATAGCGGACTCTGCCCAGCGAACCTCTGGCAAGCTGGCGCACTCGGAATCTCCATGCCTCAGCGCGCAACGAACCAATGCAGATGTTTATCTACACGCGGTACCAGAGAACAGTTCATCGTTGGGTGTGTCGTACGTCGGATCCGTCTCGTCACCAATCCAATAATCCTCACAATGCGGAATGAATGTAATTGACTTGTCAAGGCATCAAACTACGGTGCAATTGCAATTTTACGTATTCACCCTCAGCATTGACGGTATGTACATCTATTCGTCTTTTTGGTTGATTTCGATTGCTTGCCCCAGCACACCTCTAATTGGTCAAAGCTCACAAGCTCCTTCTGCAGCTTTACCCAATTTTTTTCCCCCCCACTGGAGGGATCCTTCCTGACCAAGACTCACACCGAGACGCACTCGAACCTACAACA